GGGTTCAAGACCCGCCTGGGCAGCGAGACCTCATCTCTACAATAAAATCAAAAAAAATTAGCCGGGCGTGGTAGCGCGCGCCTGTAGTTCCAGCTACTCGGAAGGCTGAGGCAGAAGGATCGCCAGAGCCGAGGAAACAAAAAAAAAATGTCACTCAGGGTGGGATTGGGTGATTAGGGAAGGTGGGGCACAAGGGTTATGCTGTTTTGGGTCCAAAACTGTCGGACACTCAGCGCAGTATGGGCAGGTTGTTCGTGCAAATCACCAATTATAAAATGGGTAAACACAGTGAAATAATCTTCAAAAAAATTTCACTGAAGTCGAATGCAACCTCTCACAACGATGCTAGCTGACACACTGATTCCAATGGGTTCCTAGACCACCTACCTAGTGGGGGAAGCCTGTACTACAGGGGGCCCACCCTCCAAAACATAAACTCTGGTTATTTTTGTCCCACTCCCTTGTACGTGGATAGTGGGGCTCTGAGAGATTATTTAACTTGCCTTTGGCTCCCCATCTAGGAGGTAACTAAACTAGATTTCCACCACAGACTCATTTACTCTCAGTCTAGAACTCTTTCTGCATCATAGTTGGAGTCTGTTGGGCCTTGCATTCAGTAACTAACAGCCCCTCATGGGAATAAATGGTTCTCTCTTAACCTCCCCCTAGTAGGAAGGAGATCCTATGAAGATTTACCATATAGATCTGCCTGGTAATCTAACTCTGTTCCAGAGGTTTGATTTGCTTCTTTAGGATTTTGTCCTGCAATTCAAGCAACTGCCACCAGATGGAAGGAATGTTCTGTTAAAGAGAACAAATCAAGCACTAACATAGCAAATGTTGACCAGTGGTCAGAAATTGACATATCCCTGTTCTAAATGTAGGAGATTATTTATTTAGCTGATGTCCTCTATGTTCATTAGTATTTCTATCTCATTATCATTATGGTACTAACTTAGCAGTATTTCTTTTTTATTGCTGTCTTTTGTTCCCAGGGGATTTCTGAGTTGTTTTCAACCATCTTTGTCTGAACTAAGAATTCTTTCCTTTCTCTTTTCTTGTCATTGCATTTTCAAATTGTGATCGCTCTACTCCTGGAGTACTTCAATGACAAGCCTTTCTGCCTTCTGTTTCTTAATCCTCTTTGCATAATTCAGCCGGTTAATGTTTAGAGAATGCCACTTTTTAACTTGGCCCTTAGAAACTTTACTCTCCATTGTCTCAGGATTAGTTTGACCCTGTCTTTCCATATATGTTGAAAACACATTCTGCTTTGCCTTGGTTTCTACTATCAACATATCCTATTCATCTTTAAGAGCTAGTTCAAGATCTAACTTCTTTAGTCAGTCAACAAATATGTTTTGGATGTGTGAGCATGTGCCAAGCACTGTTTTAGGCACTGAGTAGTCACCATGGAAAAAGATAGGTAATGCCCCTTTTCTCGGGGAACTTAGATTCTAATGGGGCAGGCAGACATTTCCCATCTCATGAAGTAATCCCATGAGCCACATCAAGCCCTACCTCCTCTAACCTCAGAAAACTTACCTTTTTTTCCATAAGATATAACTCTAGAAACACTGTGGACAATATTTTACATTGTACCAAGACTGATAAAAACAGATGAGTATTGCTCTTCGAAGTGATGATCTTGGAGCTCTGACATTTATTTTCATGCTACAGGCGAGATTCAAAACAAAAGAGCAGGGTGGGTGTGGTGGTTCAGCCTGTAATCCCAGCACTTTGGGAGGCCAAGGCAAGAGGATTGCCTGAACCCAGGGGTTTGAGGCAGCCTGGGCAACTTTGGTGAGACATCGTCTCTACAATAAATCACAAAAACTAGCTGGGCATGGTGGCTTGCGTCTGTAGTTCCAGCTACTTGGAAGGCTGAGGCGGGAGCCCAGCAGGTCGAGGCTGCAGTGGCCATGAGCATACCACTGCACTCCAGCCTGGGTAACAAGAGTGAGACTCCAACTCAAAACTAAACAAAAGAGCCCATTTCTTTACTAACATCCCCAGAGCCTATAGTATTTTTATCTAAATGTCCTCAGCCATGGCAAATGTTCATTCTTTGAGGTTGCATTTGACTTTTAAAAACAGCCTCAAGTCTATCACAGCTAAGTCTGATGAATTAGCTGAATGAGAATGTGTGAGAGAAGGGAAGAGACTAGTTTTCTGACATGACTCAAAAGTGAACTCTTGAAGAGGCTTCCTGAAGAGAAGTCCAGACACATCATGAACTAGTAACAGCAGCATTCAAAGAAATGCGCAGCCTACTTTGAAGTGTAGCACTCATTTGAAAATTCTAGTTCTGGTAGTTTTGCCTGAAGATATTAATCTTAGTATTCTACAGTCATACTTAGTGGCTTTTACTGCCTTGTGTATTCCCAGCTTGTATTTTTTTATCCGTTTTTAGTATTTTTCCAATTAAACAATAAGTCCCTTTGGAGAAAGAAGGTGACTATTTTGTATGTCACTCACAGTTGTATATAATAGATTCTCGGTAATGATATATTGATTGATGAGGCAGCAATAAAAGAAATAAAGCATTAGTTAATACTGTTAGTGTCAACATAATCTATGTTTTCCTGACTATTTTATTTTATTTATTTTTTTTTTTTTTTTTTTTTTTTTGAGTTGGAGTCTCATTCTGTCACCCAGACTGAAGTGCAGTGGCCAATCCCGGCCACCGCAGCCTCGACCTGCTGGGTCCGGCGATCCTTCCTCCTCAACCTTCCAAATAGCCGGAATTACAGGCACGCGCTACCACGCCAGGCTAATTTTTTGATTTATTGTAGAGATGAGGTCTCGCCAAGTTGCCCAGGCGGGTCTCAAACCCGCGGGATCAGGCAATCCACTCACCTCAACCTCCCAAAGCACAGAACCACCGAGCGCGGCCCCTAACTACTTATTAACAATAATTAACTTTCTTTTCTTGAGTTGAAGTCTCACTCTGTCACCCAAGCTAGACTGCTGTGGCATGCTCACGGCCACCACAGCCTTGACCTGCTGGGCTCAGGCATTCCTTCTGCTTCAGCCTTCCAAGTAGCTGGAACCATAGGCATGCACCACCATGCCCAGCTAATTTTTTTTTATTATTTATTGTAGTGACGAGGTCTTGCCAAGTTGCCCAAGCTGATCTCAAGCCCCTGGGCTCAGGCAGTCCTTTTGCCTTTGCTTCCCAAAGTGCTGGGATTACAGACATGAGCCATCGTGTCCCACTAGCATTAATCAATTTTAAATAAACACGGCATTGTCAGTCTACTTTATGATGATTTTGAAAATCTAATTGGTATTTAAGGTACAGTATCACTAGGTGTTCATATTAATTTGATCATTTCTTCTCTGGAAGAAAAATAGCAAGAGGTTTTTTTAGCAATTAAGTAAGATCCTCTTCTGCCTTGGTAAGGCAAAAGTTGGTCTTAATATGAATTAATCATTTGTTTTTGAGTTGTTCCCATATGTCTCTGCAATACAGGTTTACTGCATTCTGACATTAGATGAATTTAGGAATGACTACAATATTTGGAGTATAGTTTCCCATTTTAGCATAGCAAGTTGATTAAGCGAAAATATTAACTTTTGTCTTCATTCTTTTCCAGAATCTTTGTTTTATTTTGCCACAGTTTTTGTACCAGTTCTTCTGTGGATTCTCACAACAGGTTTGTTTCTCAAGTTATCTGTTATAATGTAGTTTACATTTGCTGTTAATAAATTACCTTTATGTATTAGATTTATAGAGATTAGAGAGGTATATCCAAAGTAAAAGGATCTCTTTTTTGATTTAACAGATTCTTTTTGGCCTGGTTCTTGACAGTAGCAAATGTTTATGTCTTTGCTTTAATAATTTTCTTATTGTTACTTTCGTTTTGAAATGTTTTTGGTATGCCCTGTTGGAGTTGAGATAACATTAAAAAGAGTATTTTGATTTTTTTTCTTGTTATCAATGTATAAAATGTGCTTCATAATTCTAAAATTTTATAGTTTAACATTTCATCAAATAAAATCTCACATCTTTCAGTTTCTCAGGTTAATTTTATAGAAAATTATCGATATTTGACCTGACCCAGAAGCTGTTATTCCTAGATATAGCCTTTGATTACTTAAAGCGACTTAAGATGTTTTGCCCTCTATTGTTTCCTAAACATATCTTAGATATGAAATGGAGAGGCACATTTATTTTAACAGCTGAAATGGATTTGACTTTGTTTCTAGTGGGAAGCATAGCTAAATACAGGAGCTGTAATATTCAGGGACTCAGAAGTTTTGTAGTTAATCTATGAGCAATTCAGTAATTTTCCAAGCTGAACCATCACACTGCCATAGGTATTAGAGACTAAGTATCTACATTTCAAAAGCAAGCTTTATTCCTGTTGGTTCCTCATGATAGAAAATGATTTTTTAAATAATTCCTTGACAGTATTATTAAGAGAATATAGTCTTTTCCATGGGAAATTATTGTTGTTGTTGTTGTTTTTCTCTTGAACATGCTTCTTTGCCATTTGATTTGCTGTCTCTTACATTAATGCCTTGTTATTAGCCTGATAGTTCCAGTTAAGCAGATCACATTATGAATTAAGCATCTTCCAGTTGTAGGAAGTGCCATCAGCCTTCTTGTATTCAAAACTAATAGTATTAGTTACAGAGTATTTTGTAAATTCTGGTGATCTGCTTTTCTTGAATGTTCAAATGGCTATTGACCAAAATTTTGCTAATTCCTCACTTTCTTGGATAAATGTAAGTTTTTTTCTTTTTTGAGTTGGAGTCTCACTCTGTCACCCAGACTGGAGTGCAGTGGCACACTCCCAGCCACCACAGCCTCGACCTGCTGGGCTCCAGCAATCTTTCTGCCTCAGTCTTCCAAGTAGCTGGAACTACAGGCGTGCACTACCACGCCCAGCTAATTTTTTGATTTATTGTAGAGATGAGGTCTCGCCAAGTTGCCCAGGTGGGTCTCAAACTCGCAGGCTCAGGCAATCCACTCACCTCAGCCTCCCAAAGCATGGGATTACAGGCTGAGCCACCGAGTCCAGCCAGTATTTTTTTTAATTCTAAATTTTCTTTATTTATAGCCAAGTACTAAAGGGAAGTTGGCTTGCTCTGGTTGAAACATTATTTTTATTTTGAAATGAGTCTGTTATGTTATCCTTTTAAAACAGGTTTACAAAGCATAAGTTGTACGTAGAAAGGACTTATTCCTTATAAATCTAGATGAGGTTCAGAACCTGGACTGTCTTTAGTCTGCTTTGGTTTCCTTAGGAGTTGATGTTTGGCTCCTTCAGTTGCTCATCTGTTAAGTTTATTGGTTCATTCCTTTGGCGATTTTTTTTTTTTTTTTTTTGAGTCAGAGTCTTACTCTGTCACCCAGGCTGGAGTACAGTGACATGATCACAGCTCACCGCAGCCTCAAGCTCCTGGGCTCAGGCGATCCTCCTGACTCAGACTCTTTAGTAGCTAGGACAACAGGTGTGTGCCATCACGCCTGGCTAATTTTTTTTTTATTTTTATTTTTTGTAAAGACAAGGTTTCTCTCTGTTGCCTAGGCTGGGTTCAAGCAATCCTTCCGCTTCAGTCTCCCAAAGTGCTGAGGTTATAGGCGTGAGCCCCAGTGCCCAGCCTTGACACATATTTCTTGAGTGCCCACTCTGTAAAAGGCTAAGTGCTGAGGATATAGAAGTGATCAAAGCAAACTCCCTTACCCTCATGAAACTTGCACTATAGTGATAGGGCAAGAGACAAACAACAATCAAATATATTATGTCAGGTACTGATATGTGCTCTGATGGAAAAAGCAGCATAATAGAGGGACAAAGTATGACTAGGGGAGATGGCTGCTATTTTAGAGAAGATGATCTGGAAAGGTCTTGCTGATGAGTTGACATTTGTACAGAGACCTGAAGGAGCTAAGAAGGAACTATGCAGACATCTAAGAGGGAAAGTGTTCCAGTAAAAGGAAGATCTCTCTTAAGGTGACATGGAATGCGAAATCTTTATTTTTGACTTTGCCTATGTGCTGGTGCTAATATAGCAGCTTTTATTGCAAATATCCTTGGAGTATTTGTGGGTAGACAGCCTTTTCAATTCTGAACCATATTAGGTGTTCTCTGGAACTTGGAAAGTGGGCTGTGAAGATTGTAGAAATGGGACCAGGATTTAGATTCGTCACACAAAAAACAACTCTTTCTTTAGCTAGGATAGTACTTATCTTTTCTTTTCATGAAATAAAACATTGTAACATGTTTAACAAGAAACAGTATTATCAACTAAACCTGTTGTTTGTTTTGGGGACATTCTGTCTTCTCTAATTGTGCACCTAAAAATTACAATTATCTCTCATGTAACCTTAAAGTATGATGGTGAAACAAAAGTAGATTGATGCTTCTTTTGTTTGAATGAAATTCAAAAATAAATTATACACTAGTCAATTTCAATTGTATTTTTTTTAATTTACTCATTGCTGGGCTCGGTGGCTCAGCCTGTAATCCCAGCGCTTTGGGAGGCCGAGGTGAGTGGATTGCCTGAGCCCGCGGGTTCGAGACCCACCTGGGAAACTTGGTGAGACCTCATCTCTACCAATAAATTAAAAATTAGCCGGGTGTGGTAGCACACACCTGTAGTTCCAACTTCTTGGAAGGCTGAGGCAGAAGGATCGCTGGAGCCCAGCAGGTCGAGGCTGCAGTGGCCGGAGCAGCCACTGCACTCTGGTCTGGGTGACAAAGTGAGACTCCAACTCAAAAAAAAAATTTACTCATCAGTGAAAATGGGTAGTTTCCAAAGAAAATGTAGTGTTGTGTGACACGGATTACTCCTTTCCTTTGAGAATTAAAATGAATGCAACACCATTTTTTTTTTTTTTTTGGTATGTTTTAATTCAGTGGAATATGTTTGCTGAGCTTGAATCTTTGTTTATAAAAAGTATGTTGAGCTGGGCTCGGTGGCTCAGCCTGTAATCCCGCACCTTTGGGAGGCTGAGGTGAGTGGATTGCCTGAGCCCGCGGGTTCGAGACCCGCCTGGGCAGCGAGACCTCATCTCTACAATAAGAATCAAAAAATCAGCCGGGTGTGGTAGCACATGCCTGTAATTCCGGCTACTTGGAAGGCTGAGGCGGAAAGATCGCCGGAGCCCAGCAGGTCGAGGCTGCGGTGGCCGGGAGCGGCCACTGCACTCCAGTCTGGGCGACAGAGTGAGACTCCAACTCAAAAAAATAAATAAATAAAATAAAAAAATAAAAAGTATGTTGGAAGTACCTGTTTGTCCTTTATAAAGCCATCCTTTTAACTTCATGGAGAATATTGCATCCATTATCTCTTGCGTTGTCTCTACTGCAGGCCATAGTTGTAGTCACAAGGAGTTGCATCCCCAGCTCCTTGTGCACCTCCTGTTCTGCCTCTCCATCTAGAATTTGAACTCCTTGATGGACAGGAGATGAATCATCTCTGTTCCCAGAACTTGTCCCTTAGGCACTAAGTAAATGTTCTGAAGTCAACTAGTGAATTAACTAATGCTCCATTCAAGTCATTCTCAACTTTTTTGAATCAGTCTCCATTATGATAATAATAATTGTTAGTAGTTACTGCTTGAAAATACATAATTGTGTTAATTTGTGTCACAGTTAAATGCATTTTATTATTCAAAGGGCATTCATATGTATGAAAAATACATATACATATGGAATATTTATTCAGTTCACTGAAAATGGTTGTATGACAATATTTAGCACTATGTAAATAAATGCCGAACTCACTAAGTACTTTTATCAGAATGAGATTCATGGAATACCTTAACATTTTTCAATAAAGTAATAATATTAGTTCAGTCCTTTATGAATCTGCTAAAGCCATCTTCTCTTTTAGAAGCTCAAGACTGACAAAGCTCTCCAGCCAAAAACCACTAGGAACACACTTGAAGTTGATCAAATTAGGTTTATTACTCAGATCAGGAAGAATGAACATATACCATGAAACCTCTCAGAAAGAGAGTGGTAGAAAAGGACTTGAACTTAAAAATATTAACCAAAAATATGTAAAATATTATCCAAAACAACTGTGACACAGACTGACTACTGCCTATATTTCTTTTCTCTGAAGATTCCTTACTTATACTTAATAGTCTTTGCTGAAATGGCTCCTGAATAGCAGAATTATTAGCTACTAAAAAATCTTTTGAAAAGTTGTTAATGTCTATTAAAAATACAACTTATAGCATGTAAACATTTTGAATAAGATTATATTAAAGGGGACGTTTATTAATATGACACATCCCAATGTGTTAGTTTCTTTTTTTTTCTGGTCACACCAGCTAGTGACCTTAGATATGAAGTTTCCTTTGCTAGCACAAAAAATCATGAAAGAAAACTTTGTTTTAGCTAGAAATTTTTCCAAATACATAAATATCATCTTATAGAGGATTGTTACAATAAATTTTTTTCCTCTGTTCTTTGTCATTTCAGCCACTGTATGATGCTGCTTACCTTACAATGTACAATATCTGCTTCACGTCCTTGCCCATCCTGGCCTACAGTCTGCTGGAACAGCACATCAACATTGACACTCTGTCTTCAGATCCCCGATTGTATATGTAAGTTGAACATAATTGAAGCCCTCTTAGACTTCCAAAATTGTGGCTTTCATTTCATCTGCAGGTGAGAAGGACACAAAACTGCCCACCTGGTTTGATTATGTGGTTGTGTAATTCTAAGCTACTGAAACCAGATCACTCAATGGAAAAATGATATATTTTCTAGGTATGGGTCCTGTACTTGAATGTGTATAAAGCATTTAGTTCAGAATTGCTAATTCCTAGAGCAAAAACCTACATTATTATAGTGTTCTGGTGTCTTACAGAAAGACATAATAGTTTAACTGAAGAAAAAAAAACTGCACACAATGATCTTTGGTAATTTCGAATGTTGATTCCTACCTGTAGTGGATTGAACTAATGAGGTGATCTTATCCTTTCTCTTATAGACTGCACCCTAAGGATTAGCTACCCCCCTTTTGTTAACCACATTCTAAAGCTGTTTGGTTGAAGACAATAATTAACTCATAGGCTATTGTATTCATTTTGTGTCAGTTGAAAATGGATGCTTTTCTGTATGGATAGAGGACTTGGCACTAGCCCCAGTTGCTTAACTTATGACATAATTGGATTTTTAGAAGTTAAGACTACAGCTAAGGATAAAGATGTTAATTTACAGCAGATTATAAGCATTGCTAAACAGTGGATAGCAAGTGCAATAGAGAGGCTCAGATGGTTCATTTGTATGAAATCAAGATGCACAAATTTAAGGGTTTTTTTTTAAAACCAGTATTAACATTTAGCAATTGTTAGTATTATACAGGCATAAAATGTATCATCATTTGAAGGCCTTTATTAAGGAAAATTTCAAACATACACAAAAGTAGAGATAATACTATTTATATAATGAACTTTCTTGTTCCCACCACTCAGCTTCAATAACTTTCAATTCCTCGACTATTCTTTTCCATTAATAACCACATCTGCTCTATCACAGGCTGATTTTGCAGCAAATCTCAAAGATTACATAAAATAGTTATTTCAGTAGGCATCTCTTAAAGATATAATTTTTTAAGGTTCCTTTTCTTTTTTTTTTTTTTTGAGTTGGAGATTCACTCTGTCACCCAGGCTGGAGTGCAGTGGCATGCTCACAGCCACCGCAATCTCGACCTTTTAGGCTCAGGCGATCCTTTCACCTCAGCCTTCCAAGTAGCTGCAAATACAGGCACACGCCACCACGCCCAGGTAATTTTTTTATTTATTGAGATGAGGTCTCACCAAGTTACCCTGGCTGGTCTTGAAAAAACTGCAGTGGGCTCAGGCAGTCCTCTCACCTCGGCCTCCCAGAGTGCTGGGATTATAGGCATGAGCCACTGCACCCGGCCAGACACAGTTTTGTTTTTTTTTTTAAATAATCATACTCTGTCACTTAAACTTAGTATCTTCAAATCCAGTCAGTGTTCAAATTTCTCCAGTAGACTTATTTTTTTATAGCATGCTTGTTGAATCAGGACCCAAATAAGGTCTATACATTGCAATTGGTTAATATGCTTCTTGAGTGTCTTTTAATCTGTAGGCTAACCTTGTAATTTATTGACAAAACCAAATCATTTATGTTGCATCATTCCCTACAGTCTAGAGTTTTCTGATTGCATCCTCATGGTGTTACTTAACATGTTCTGCTGATTCCTGTATTAGTTGTAAATGAATAATTAAACCCAGAGGAGAATCAATTAGAAACCTTGGAAGAAATCTTACAGGGAATCAGCTCCCATACTCTCTTTTTAAAAATGAGGAAACAGGACCCAGGAATGACTTACCTAAAGTTCAGAGCCAAAATGAAGATAAAACTTCAGCCCTCTTTTCAGCAGACCAGTCGTTTTCAAACGTTGAACAGTGGTAGTCTTCTGACAATGCCCAGCAGTACAGCTTCTCTGGTTGAGGTGGGGTTTAAGTAGTGAGCAGAATTCCTCCCATTTGGTTCCACCAAGAGGTCAGGCCAGCCAGCTAGGTTCAGATCCCCCTCTGCCACTTAACTGTGTGACCTTGGCTGGGCTCGGTGGCTCAGCCTGTAATCCCAGCACTTTGGGAGGCTGAAGTGAGTGGATTGCCTGAGCCCACGAGTTCAAGACCCGCCTGGGCAACTTGGTGAGACATCATCTCTACAATAAATCAAAAATAACATTAGCCGGGCGTGGTAGCGCGCACCTGTAGATCCAGCTGCTTGTGAGGCTGAGGCGTTAGGATCGCCGGAGCCCAGTAGGTCGAGGCTGTGGTGGCCAGGAGCGGCCACTGCATTTCACTCTGGGTGACAGAGTGAACTCCAACTCAAAAAAAAAAAAACTACATGACTTTATGCAAGTTACTTGACTGAACTGTGCCTCAATTTCATCTTCAGTAAAGTAGGGGCAACAATTGCACCTAATCACAATGGTAAAAGAAACCATCAAGAGAGCGGGGAGACAACCCATAAAATGGGAAAAAATATCTGCCAACTATATATCTGACAAAGGCCTAACATCCAGGATCTGCAAGGAACTCAAACATGCCAAAAGGAAAAATAACAAACAGCCCTATGAAAACGTGGGCAAAATATATGAATAGACACTTCTTAAAAGAAGACCTAGGAGCAGCCAACAGATACATGAAAAAATGCTCAGGCTCACTAGTCATCAAAGAAATGTAAATTAAAACCACACTGAGATACCACCTAACTCCAGTCAGTATGGCCATTATCAATAACTCAAAAAACAACAGATGCTGGAGAGGATATGGGGAAAAGAAACACTTCTACACTGTCAGTGGGAGTGTAAACTAGTACAACCTCTGTGGAAAACTGTGTCGCAATTCCTAAAAATTCTAAAAATCAACCTTCTGCACAACACAGCAATCCTCCCTTCTGGGATTATACCCAGAGAAACTCAAATCATTCTATGAAAAAGATACCTGCACATGCATGTTTTTATTGCAGCATTATTCACAGTAGCAAAAACATGAAACAATCATATTCAGTGATCTATCAGAGAAACAATGGACAGAGTACCATATGTTGTCACTCATAAGCAGACCTTGAACAGTTATTACAATACTATAAGAAAGGGGTTCGCAGCTGGGCTCGGTGGCTCAGCCTGTAATCCCAGCACTTTGGGAGGCTGAGGCGAGTGGATTGTCTGAGTCCGTGGGGTCAAGACTCACCGTGGGGTCAAGACTCACCTGGGCAACTTGGAGAGACCTCATCTCCACAATAAATCAAAAATTAGCCGGGCGTGGTAGTGTGCACCTGTAGCTCCAGCTACTTGGAAGGCTGAGTCAGAAGGATCGCCTGAACCCAACAGGTCGAGGGTGCAATGGCCATGAGCGTGCCACTGCACTCCAGTCTGGGCAACACAGTGAGACTCCAACTCAAAAAAAAAAAAAAAAAAGTTTGTTTAGCCGGGCATGGTAGCACACGCCTATAGTTCCAGCTACTTGGAAGGTTGAGGTAGAAGGATTGCCGGAGCCCAGCAGGTCGAGGCTGCAGTGACCGGAAGTGTGCCGCTGCATTCTAGTCTGGATGACAGAGTGAGACTCCAACTCAAAAAAAAAAAGAAAAAAAAGAAAGGGATTCACAGTAATGGGAAACTGCCAGGGGAGGCGGGGTGGGATTGGCAGTTGAGGGAAACCGCTTGGGGAGGGAGGGAGACCTCATCAATAAGGGTACCTGCATAATCAATGTTTGTATTCCTAACCCTGAATTGTACCCCACATCTTTAAAATACAATTTTCAAAAAACCATGAAACCAACAGTGCTGCCCATTGAAAGTGTACTGGATAAAAAAATGTGGTACATATACATGATGGAATATTATGTGGCCATAAAAAAGGACAAAATTAGCCTAGCTCGGTGGCTCAGCCTGTAATCCCACGCTTTGGGAGGCTCAGGTGAGTGGATTGCCTGAGTCCGCAGGTTCAAGGTCCACCTGGGCAACTTGGCGAGACCTCATCTCTACAATAAATCAAAAAATTAGCCCGGTGTGGTAGCGCTCGCCTGTAGTTCCAGCTACTTGGAAGGCTGAGACAGAAGGATCGCTGGAACCCAACAGGTCGAGGCTGCGATGGCCAGGAGCATGCCACTGCAACTCTAGTCTGGGTGACAGGGTGAGACGCCAACTCAAAAAAAAAAAAAAAAAAAAATATATATATATATATATAGAGAGAGAGAGAGAGAGAGTAAGGGTTTCTATAGGGGTTTTAGTGACTGCATTGCAGTTGTAGGTCATGAATTATTGACTAATTTTGTATAGAGGGTGTACTTGCTATATCTGATGCAAAAATAAAGGCCATGGCATACCTATTGTCCAGTCCAAAGTGTGGCTTTCCTTAGTATCTTCATAATTGTAAGTAGTGAGTAATTACTATGATCAGCTACTGCTCTCAGTCTGTGACCAGACTGGAGACTGGAGATTGCTTCGTTACTCTGAGTATTCCTTTGTAAGTTTGAAACTTTGGTCTTCATAGATGGCTATCTGTAGTGTACCACTAAATATTAACAATGACATTGTATAGCATATTATCGATTTTACCTTCAGGGAGTTGGTGACTTAGGCATTTCCAAACACTTTGATGTGAAGCAAGACATAAATTGCTATTTTCATATTTTTAAGATAAATTTTAAAAGTAAACTGTAGTTCTTTTATAGAGGGCAGGTATAATGTGTTTCTTCTACAGCTTTAAAAGGCAAAAGAAAGGATTCTAGTATGCCTGCAGCCTGCTGTTACATGGAGCTGCTCAGGCCTATGCTGCTGGTCAACCTTTCCCCAGGTCTTCATTCTCTCTTAGACTCTCCTTCATGTGACTTCCCATATCCTGAGTTTCTAACAGTTTCTTCATTTGAGTGCAGCTAGAAAGCCTGACCTATAATTCAGCATACCATGACGTCCTGTGCCCTTTCCCCACCAAATGTAATGTAACTCCTATGGATGGTCTGTAAATATACGCAGTCATAAAGAAGGACAAAATCATGGGCTTCACAGCAAATTGCATGGAGTTGGAAATAATCATACTTAGTGATCTGTCACACAGAAACAAAAAACTGAATACCACATGTTCTCACTCATAAGTGAGACCTGAACACAAATCACAATAGCACATGGAGGGAACGGCAGTCGAGGGTTACTGCCAGGGGAGGAAGGCAGGGCGTGGGGACATATAACAATACAAAGGGTACCTGATCACAAACCAGGGATAATGAGAACCGGTTGGAGGCCCAAACTTCACCTGCACATACCTCACTTATGTACCTAGTCCTGACTTGTACCCTACACCTTTATAATAAAATAAAGTAAAAAATAAAAATAAGCCGGGCTCGGTGGCTCAGCCTGTAATCCCGCGCTTTGGGAGGCTGAGGTGAGTGGATTGCCTGAGCCTGCAGGTTCAAGACCCGCCTGGGCAACTTGGTG